AGCACGGGATTGGAAACCTCTCTGCCACGGCTGAATGCTCATTCCAATTTCCAAATGAGAATGCTGAGCGGCCTAGAGGTATGAACTTCATCTGCATTCTTTTCTTCACTGAAAGCTCCTTACATGTGTATATCGAAAGGGCTGGGAAAGTGAACTTGATTGCAGTGTTGGTTTTGGATGTGGATTTGAGTTCGGGGCTTCCAGCTCTAGTCTCCTGTGCAGAATCTCAAACTGGCTTGACCTCATGTTATTTTGAAAGCCAGCCTGATGAGGGCGCAGTTCTGACAGGTGGGCTCTTGCTGTTACTGAATCTTAGGTTTTGGTTGTAGTAACTTGCCTGTACCCCAGGCATAAGAGGCATCAGGTGGGAGGACTCTTTCCGCCCAAAATGTTCATCAGGGTCACCCAGTGGTCTGATTTTTCTCCTGGTCTTTTCCTAACTCTGCCTTTGGGCTAATTATTCTCTTTCCCAAACTCAGGCTCTTCTGCATGCGCTTGGCTTGAAGGAAATGATGATCAGCTTTAATACCACAGGAAAGTGATCACACCAGCCAAGGACAGCACACCTAGTGACTACTATGGTTGCTTGTTTAAAAGCCAATACATTTTGGGGTGGTTTATTAAGCAGCATTACTGTGACAACAAACACAACCCAGCAACAACAAAAACCAAGAGGAAAAAACGCATACAGCACTAAAAAAAGCCTCTTGCTTAATGTTATATACTGTAAGTGAAGGCCTCCCTGGTGAGCAAAAAAAGGCCTACTGAGACTCCCGCCTCACCACGGCCAGTGCCACCCACTCTTCTAAAAAAAGTCTAGAGAAGGCACATTTATGGAGACCAGACGCAGATCCGTGGCTGCCAAAAAAAGGGAGTGGGAGCAGGGATTAAGTGTGATGGGCACAAGGGAACTTTGTGGAAAAAAAAATGTTCTAAAACAACTGTGGTGAGAGTTGTGCAACTCTATAAATTGATAAAAAAAACCGAATTGTATACTTACAATGGGAGAACTTTATAATTGTAAATTATAAAAAAAAAAAGCTGTATTTTAAAAATGCCCACAGCAATGAACAGACTGTGGGAATTTTTTTTTTAAGAACTACCAGTCTTCATTCAACTTGATCAACGCTGGAAAACAGTAAAAAAAAAAACTTGTCCTCATCTGAGAAGAGGTCTCCAACCAGGAGGCAGCAGATAAGGAGCTTCCCGCCAAAGCCCCACCTGATCCGTGCCTGAGCAGGGACACCATACCACGAAAAAAATACCTCTGGGAACAGAATGGGAGTCAGTGGGGAATTTTTACTTTTTTACAAAAAAAATTTCTGTAAATTACTTTTTTTGTTCCTTCAACAAACATGCATTGCTTTAAAAAAAAAAGACAAAAAAAAAAAACCCAAAAAAACAAAAAGCCAATCCATTGACTAAAAAAAATCACTGAAATAAAGGTTTGTGGGCAGGGGTGCTCCATCTGTCATTCTATTACCCTAATGTATGGCTTTTGGGCACTAATTCAAATTGTACTTTTCCTATAACTGAAAAAAACTGCAAGGAAAGAATACACATTGTTCATGGTTGGTGTGGGAGCATGGCTAAAAAAAGGAGAAGGAAAGGATTGCTTGCTCAGGGTTGTCTGAAAGTAATCCTGCCAAAAAAACCCGCACTTACTTTCCCATAGAGCTGCTCAATGTCCTCTGCATTCCTCAAAAAAAAATTGTTGTTAATCATTTCAGCACGGAATATCTTGAATTCTTTCTGAGGACCATGGTCCTGACCAAAAGGGATTGGCAATGGAGACTCGTAAGTCTCATACACTCTAAAAAAACTCTTCGGGGCATGGAAAACTGCTTCTGCCATTTTTCAGAGGAGGTATCAAAAAAAGAGTAGACAACAAAGAGAAAGAAACAGACAATCAGTAACTACCTTGATTAAAAAAATGAGTACATCTGTACCTAGGCTCAGAAAACTTAGGGGTCTGTGGGAAGAAAAAAAATATTTATAAAGCAATAAACTAAAAGTAATAAGAACAGTTTGTGTGAGCAAAAAAAATCACATTGACCCAGAATACGGCAATTAATCCCCCAAAATAACCCCCAGGAAAAAAATGGTAATCTTTCTACTCCAGTTGACAATGCTGAGACCTAGTGACGTGCCCAAAGCTGCAATGTTAGGTCTCCAGAGAGCAAGCACAACAGGATTTCTGTCTACCAGGAGTGCTTCCATTTCACCCACCCAACAGACATTTACTACCAGGAATTCCTAATAAAAAAAAATGCCGGGGAGACAAAGACAAAACTGAGACCCGGTCCTCAACAAATTAAAAAAAAAAAGCACTTCATTTTCCAAGAGGATCTTAAAATACACACTAAACACTGGGTAAAAAAACTCCCAACATTTAAAGTACATTAATAAATAATAATGACAGCAGCAGTTAAAAAAAAGTTGATTATATACTACCAAATGCTACTGGCTTCAAGCAGGGACTCTAAAAAAAAAATACCAGCATTGGAATCAACTTTACCACTTTCTAGCAGTGTGATTTTGGGAAAAAAACACTGACTCTGTGCTTTAGTTTCCTCACCTGCAAAATCAAGATAAGAACAAAAAAAATCTTACAGTTGAGATCCATAAAGTGCTTAGAACAGTACCTGGCACGCAAAAAAAATTAGTATTACAGGGTGAGCAATAGCAACACCATTTTATAAATAGGAAACAGATTCAGGTTAGAGAGATTTGTAGAGGACCCCGAGTGTGGTGGTATCGGATGACCAAAAAAAGTTGAACTGCCAAGCCCATGCCCTCTCTCTGGATTCTGCTGAAAGCACAAAAAAAATCCTACTTTTGTCTTTTGTCTGATGACTATTTCTCAAAATCAGATGGTGAAGGGTTACTGAGCAATAATGGAATTACCTATCGTGCACCCAGCACTACGAGGGAGAAAAAAAAGCCAAGGCCAGTATGTGTCCCTCTGGGGCCATACATTGAACCCAAGGAAAAAAAACAAGTATATAACATACCTGGAAGCATAGAAAGCAAGTTGGAACTAACAGAAAAAAATGTGATCCACTAATGTCTAAAGGAGGGAGTAAATGTGAGCATATTGTGTAAAAAAAGCACAGAGATACAGCAGATGCACTTAACCTAGGAAAACTTAACCCTATAAAAAAAAAAACAATGTAAATGGTGTAAGACATTCCACTCAAGGAGCAGCTGTCCTGAAAAAAAGTGGGAAACTTGAATCTGCTGCTCCCTCAGTACTAGGTCTAGACTTAATAAAAAAAGAGAGCTTACCTGGTGCTTGAAGATACAGTGCAGCCAAATCATACACACAAAAAAACTACATGACTCCAAACCCTCACAAGGGAAAAAAGAAGACTAATTACTTAGGTGGCTCCTGCACTCAGTACTTGCATCCCATTGGCAAGGGACACCATCAAGCCTGAAAAAAACAAGAAGATGGCCAAAGCTGAGGGAGGGGAAGGTGAGTGGCTTTAAGAGAAAAAAAATCATTAAGAAATGAAAAGGCTTATCCAATGTGTGATGATATCTTTATCAAAAAAATCAAGGAAGAAGCTGAGGAATTATATGAGGACATAGAAAAACACAGACTAAAAAAAAGTTAGAGGAATTGATACATCAATTACAAAGATAACTATGAAAAACAAGAAAAAAAAGGAAGTTGGAACCTTCCTAGAATTGCCAGTGTTCTAAGCAGCAACATGAAAAAAAAATTTCTAAATAAGGAACCTTGAAGGAATTACATACTGAGCATTACTTTAAAAAAATTATATTCATGCATGCACCTTGCTGTATAGTGTTTATAACATAACCATGAAAAAAACATGTTCACAGGAAACCTAAGAGATTTTCTTAAGAGCATATTTTGACTAAAAAAAACCTTGCTTGCTGACTTATCCCTCAGCCCAAGCCAACTATCACATTTAGTAAAAAAATGGAGAGACATTAATTTATTCTAAAACTGAAAATAAACACTGCTTTTTGAAAAAAAGATGCTGGTCTCCAGTAAGGCACTTTTTGAAAGACTTCCAGGAATGGTTAAAAAAATTATGGGATTTTTCACTTTTATAATAACCTCTGCTCAGCAGCTGACTTAAAAAAAATACATTTGGAATTTAAAAAAATGAAAAAAGATTTAATGGCCACCTTCAAAAAAAAATAATAAATTCAACAAATAAAGAGTTGTATTTTAGCTTGCCTCATTTGTTAAAAAAATTTCCCTCTCAGACTGCTGTCACATCTAAAAAAGGCAAGATTTAGCTGTGACACTTGATCAAAAGAACTCTGTACTCCAACCTAAATGTGTGGGATGGAAGGGTCAAAAAAACAAAACACCCCTCATAATCCAAGTTCTTGTGTCACTCTTGCTCACGTGGCTGCTCACCCCTCAGGAATTTGGCTCGCAGTAGGCCTTCCAGAAACGCAAAGCCGCAAAAAAAATTGTGTGACCTTGCACAACCCACTTTCTCTAAGCCCAGTTTCATCTTCAAAAAAAACAGGACTGGAGGAGTCTGGCGGTTCCTCAAAATGTCAAACACATATTTATGACATGATCCAGCAACTCCACCCCTAGGTACAGACCTAAGAGAACTGAAAACATAAAAAAATAGAAAAATTTGTATGTGAATGTTCACAACAGTATTATTCATAATAGCTAAAAAAAGAAACCATCCAAATGTCCATCAATAGTTGACCAGATCAACAAAATGCAGAAAAAAAATATAATCAAATATTTGGTCGTAGAAAAGGAATGAAGTTCTGATACATTAAAAAAAACTTGAAAGCATTATGCTAAAAGAAGCCAGACACAAAAGACCACGAGACAATTAATATAAAGTGTCCTGAATAGACAAATCCATAGAGACAGATTACCAGTTGCCAAAAAAAGGGAAAAGTGGGAAACGGGGGGTGGGTGGTGACAGCTAATAGACAGGGGAAAAAAATTGGAGGGTGACGAAAATGTTTTAAAATTAGATTGTAGTGACGGTGATGGTTACATAACTCCGAGAATACTAAGACCACTGACGTGTACATTTCAGAAGGGTGAAAAAAAAAGAATTATATGGTGTCTCAATAAAGCCACTTTTAAAAATTCAGAAGACATCCCCCAGGCCATGTCCTGCAAGAATTGCTTCACAGATACCAGCGTGAAGCTTCTAGAAAAAAACAAAAGAAACTCTCCGGGAAGGCAGAGCTCACTTCCCAAGGGGGAGAAATTCAAGAGGACAAATCAGATGATCTCTAGTTTCATGGAAGAGTCCTCTTGTGCTTAAAAAAAAAGGCAAAGCAGAGGAGAAAAGACTACATTTGCCATTCCCTGTATCTGCAAAAAAAATTCAAGAAATGGTTCTTTAGTGCCACGGCAGGAGAACAGCATGCTGTAAAAAAAAAGATGTGAGTAAAATAAGAACAGTAAACTGTAGGTACCAGATGCCAGAGGCACTAACTGTGCCATGTGCTGCACATGTGGGTACTATAGTCATCCCTTGGTATCCACAGAAGGACTGGTTCCAGGACTCACCCCCTACCAAAATCTGCAGCTCAAGTCCCTTAAAAAAAATGCAGTATTTGCATGTAACCTATGCCCGTCTTCCCATCTACTTTAAGTAAAAAAAAGATTACTTAGATTACTTATAATACCTAACACAATGTAAATGCCAAATAAAAAAAATTTTTTAAATGTCTTTTTCCAAATATTTTTTGATGTAATATTGGTTGAAAAAAAAAATTCGGAACCTGATAGGGACAGCTGACTGTACTATCCTCATTCCACAGAAAAAAAAGAAGAGCCGTGCCTGAGGTGCACAAAAACATACAGGAAAGACTGGGTTAGTTGTCAAGAGGTTTGGGATGCAAAGGCTGGTTTGGAATTGGAGTCACTGCAGGTTAAAAAAATGAGAATGATGACTGAAAAATGTAGATTAGGAAAATTAAACCTGGGAGTGGTACATCACACACAGTGGCCCTCAAGCTTAGCTACCCTTAACGCCTCATGCCCAGAAAAAAACTGCAATCAATTACATCAGAATTTCCTGGGAGGACCCAGGTGATTTTAACACGTAGCCAACCACCTGTAACAGCACGGTCTATTCAAACTCACTTAATCCCAATAAAAAAAAGAGATAAAGACTATTTTTATTTCCATTGTACAGATAGGGAATGTGACTCAAAAAAACCTGGAGCACCTCTGAGAAATCGTTACTTCTCCTTTCCTCAACCTGCGCAAAAAAAACTCCAGAGCTGCGTATTCTTACTTTCTATTAAAAGCAAGGTCTGTTTCAAAAAAATCCCTTGAGCACACAAGCTAACACCTCTTAGGTGCTGGTAAATGTCTATAAAAAAAACAAACAAAAAAGTGGGAGGTGGCTCCATTTAATTTTCCAACCTTCCTGAAAAAAATGCCAAACAAACGTGGTTTAAAAACCTCCCACCCAGCAAATTTCACCTTAAAAAAACCAAAACACGCTTCAAGCACCACCTGCGCACCTCCTGGGCTCAGGGAGGCAAGGATGAAAGGGACAAGGTAAACAATCCTGCCTCTGGGGAGCTTTCAAGTTAGAAAAAAAAAATAAGCCATAGAAACAGATGACAAGCCTTTGAAAGTTGTTGTGAGGATAAAAAAAATAATTTTGCAGAAGGCGTTTTGTTCGGGGCCTACCACGTGGAAAGCGCTCGCCAGACGACAGCTGCAACTATTAATACAAATAAACAACTGCGCACCCAAATAGAAAAAAAGGCCCCGCGAATTCCTAACTCCCTATCTTAACTTACCCCTTTGCTTCTTAAAAAAACTACCCCCACACCCGACCGAACCCCACCAGAGGCTGAGGCTCCTCTCGGGCACCGTCAGCTGCACCTTGCGCCCCAGGCCAACCAGCCCTGAGCAAGGCGTCGGCGTTTCCAAGAACCAAGGGCTGCAGGCGCACGAGGAAGACGCGGAGGAGTCAGTGAGAAAAAAAGCTCGGAAGCCTGGCTCCCCGTCCCGGCACTGTCTCGGCCGGCTGTGCGAAAAAAACACAGTACCCGAGCCCTTTCCGCTCTCGCCCTGGACGGCTTTCGAAGAGAAAAAAATCCTCTCGCGGCAAAACACCAAACTCGCAAGGGGCCGCGCGTTCTTCGCAAAAAAACCTTACCTTTCTTGGCCCCACGCGCTCGCCGTTACCTCGGCAACGCCGGCCGTGGGGCGGACACCGCTGCCATCAAGCAGTGCGGCCGCAAAGCCAGCCTAGTGCAAAAAAACAGAGCGCCTGTCGGGACTTGGTGGAGTGCGCCTGCGCGTGGCCGGCTGGCGGGTGTTCTGTGCGCCAGCTCTGCCACTGCGGAGTATGAGGCGGAGGCTGGGTGAAAAAAATGCTGCTTTCTGCAGGATTGTACAGATACCAGAACGGTCCTGCAAGACCAAAAAAACAGATGAGATGAAGTTACCCGTCAGATGTCACATAGTCACGTGGGAGGTAAAAAAAACCTAGAGTCTTCGGCTCTCGGAGGATGGGATATTTGTAGGCGACCGGCAAAAAAATATAATTGGCCATGAGGAAACTGATCTCATCTTTCTCAATGTAGAAAGAAAAAAAAAGTAGCGCACCTGTATACGCTGCAGCATGCGGAGAACTTGCAAAGACCTAAAAAAAGGCAGACACCTGGCCAGAAGCCTGTGTGTGCCCAGACTGACTGTGCAGTAAAAAAAACAACAGGTGGCAGGTCCACCTGCTCTGCATCCCCATTTTCCCCTGCACAAAAAAAGTG